GGCTTCAAAATCTCAACCACCATTCACTGCCATTATAAATCTTGGAAGAGCCACAACATTTTTTTATGTAACTCTGATTGTATTTGTCTGAAAGAAGAAAGTCATATAAGGGTGGCTTGAGTAAATGCATGGGGTAATTTTTGGGAGAACTATCCCTTTAAGACTTATATTAAATGTAATTAAATTTCAAATAAAACAATATAAAATAAAATGATGTGAGCCCATGAATGCCTAACATTGTCATCTCTCTTTCAGTTCAAGCCTCATGCCTCCTGCTACTACCACCATCTGTGTGAGATGATGCAGTTCGACCTCATTCCGGAGCTTCGCGCTGCTTTGCGGCGATTTTTCCTTCGCATCGGTTCCGTCTTCCACATCGCCGCTCCTGAATTGGGCAGAGCGCAGCCTTCACCATCATCATAACGCGGATCAGAACTGGGAACACGGCTCAGAGATGAACTGGGAAGAAAGCGAGGCTGTAAAGTGGATGGATGGTCTGCGTGTATAAGCCTCTGCTGTGATTTGAAGGACTGTACAGGAACGCAGAATGACTGTGTGACTGTCCCATACTTTCCCCTGCCGTTCCTGACTCACGCCATCAGTCTCTCCCCTATGAGAGAACAGCACTGTGACCCAGCAGGGTGACGCTTCTGCTGTCATTCATCTGTGTTGTTAGAGTCATGAGTCATATTTGTTTTTGGGTTTTTTTACTTTCTTCTGGATGGCTGCGAAAATAATTTATTACCAGTACTGCTGTATATCTGGTTTTTGATCGTCTGTTGATTTAATTGCTTTGCCTTTTGTCCTATCTAAAATTTTGTCTGTTTTAAAGGCTGAAGAAAGAGAAATACAGAAATTAGATCATCCCGTTATTAAGAGCTTGTAAAAGACACCTGATGTGCAATGAGTTTGCGCCAGTGAATAATGGTATATTTGTTAAGGATTTAAGGTCCAACAATGGCCCATTTTCATTGTCCTTTATTGATTCATCATACAATTAAACAATCATCTCTGATTTAAATTCATTCAAGCAGGTTTTTGCATTTAAATGCTTTTAGTTTGGGGTAAAAGACTTTAATTTGGTTTCGATGTGTTCACACTAAACTCCAAATTGTCCTAAGAATGTAACGGTTGCCTTCAAAGCATTGTGTTTATTTTACATGTCAATACTTACGCTTGCTAATCCAGAGAGAGAGAGAGAGAGA